TATCTTGAATGTATAAGATTAATAATGCCTTTTTGATGAAATTTAGGTGGAAAATTTCTTTCTAAAGAATCTAGACTTTGGGTAAAAATACTATGTAATAAATATAAGTGGAGTTCTCAACAAATCCCATCTTTTATTTTTTTGTGCTCGTGCTTCGATTTGTGGAGGAGTTTGTCTCATATCTAGAGTAAAGTATTCCATAGGTTTATTTGGTATATTGGAGATGGTTTTCATGTCTCGTTTCTAGTTTGATTCTTGGATTCCTAATCTAGGTATTTTATGTAATCATGTTATCCATCATATCCCTCGGAGCATCATGTACTCTTGTGTGAAAGAGTTTGTTTCAACGTATGGCTATTGGCTATGCAGCAAATTTTTTATTTTCTTCTTCATTCTATCTATTTGAGAATTAATAGTATTCTTCCTCCTTCGGTAGACGCTACTTCTAATGCATCTTGTTAGAGTTCATCCAATGATGGTGCCTTCTCCGTTAAGTCGACTCATTCCTTAATCCACCGGTCTTCTACAAGCATTGTTGATTACATGTGGAATTTGGTTTGGCATTGGATTTGTTCTTAGAGGATAAAAAATTTCCTATGGGTTGCCATCCATGACAAGTTACTCACCAATGAATAATGAGTTTGAAAAGGTTTTGTAATGACTCCACTTATCATACTTGTGGTACGTCTTTGGAGTTTATCATTCATGTTTTAAGAAGTCGTTGTTGTTCTATTTCTTTTTGGAACATGTTTGGTGCTTTTCAACAATCCCATAATTTTTTTAATCTCGACATCAAAGATTAGTTTTGTTCAAACCTCTCTATTACGTAAAGTTATTCTACTAATTCTATCTCATGGAGTACTTGGTTTAGTTCTTATTGCGGCTCTTATGGAATGGGCATAACAAATGTATTTTTGAGGATGACTTTGTGCATCCTTCCAATCTATTTGGAGTAATTTATTCAATCACTCGGTCAAATTGCTTATAGTCTTAAGGTTTTATTGTATCTTAGAAAGCCAACTTTCGTCAAGCATATGGTTCACATTGGATAGAAGAAATCGAGTAATGGTTAGGTTAAGTTAAACACCGATGGCGTTTATCATAATTGCTTCGACATGTCTACTATCGATGGCGTTTTACACAATGATTTATTTATTTAGCTTCGGAGCTTCTCTTATCACATTGATGTTTGCTCAATATCGGGCGATGAACTTTGGGATATTTTTATTGGATTAGAAATGGCATGGAATGCTAGCTATAAATAGGTTCCGTTTAAAACTAATTTGAAAATGGCTATTCAATTATTAACCACTAAAATCATCAACCAAGGTAATCCTAGCCAACTAGTATCCACCATTCGCAATCCCTTTTCGAGGCTGTGACATGTTCATTTTTTTTTTTTTGTATATTCTTTCATATCATGAGTCACTTGCCATTTCAAAACTCTTCTAGAATATACGGGTCTTTTATTTGAAGATATATGTGGAATTATAATTCTTAAGATTTGTTCGGTATATCTTTCTCTCATGAGTTTTGTCTCTCCCTTGTGTAAAAAAAAAGAAAGAAGAAAGAACTTAATGCCTTATATGTTTTTTTCAAACAAATATATTTAATTTTTAAAACAAAGTGAGTGATATTCAAATAAACGCGAGTATTGAATATGTTTGACACAAAACTTACACAATTTTTTTTTTCATATTTTTAAATGATAACTATAAACTTATACATATTATGATTAGATAATATAAAGATACAATAATAATTTGTTGAACTATAATTATATATTGAAAATTCAATCACAACCGTATAACAATCAAAGTCTTTAAGGTGTTTCGATATATATATATATATATAGGCTAATATTATATTTTTCTACTAATTATTTTTTTTTATACAATGAGATCACGAGAAAACGCATGGTAGTATGTAGACTCTAGAACTAGCGATTCAATAGAATTGGAGGTTTGTTAAGATAATTACCCTAAAAACAATTGCTAAAACTTGGCAGCAGTGATGGACCTTTCCCTGTTTGATTTTGAAAAGGTCGAATGATGAGGTAGAGAAAGTTTGAGATTTGAGGACTACTAAACTAGTCTAACCTACTAGAGCTAGCAACCTAGACGAAAGTTCGAGGAATAAAAAAATGATTCATAAGCAGACAAGAAGACAAACACGGAGGCGTACCCTGTAAGGGGCCCACGATGTGTAACGCGTTGGAAATTGCCACGTCAGTCGCAATCCAAGTCCGCTGAGTCACTGCTTGTCAGGGCATGGTAGCGATTTCCTTCTCGTCTCTTTGCCATTGGGTGTCATGTGAGCGAATTTGACCAGAAAATTAAACGGTTGACTCCTTCAGTCTTCTAAGCTGCATTGTAATAGTGGATTGGGCTTTCTCTATCTTTCGGGCCCGCAGGGAAAATTTGTGTTTTTTTGCTTTCTCACCTGAGGTCATAAAGCCATGAAATATATATATATATATATATCAACACAAAGGAAGGCATTATTTTAATTGGATAAAACCTAATGGTTGTTTGTGTTTTCCTGTAGAGATTTTTTTTTTTCCATAACAGAGTAGTTTTGATTTTATTTACTTTGATAAGATAGTTCATGCTACTTCAATTCTGTAAGGTATCAATGCCATTATTTTTCTTAATTATTAACCTAAGTAAAAGAAAAAATAAAGAAAATATTAAATAAGAAAAGAAATATGTTATATTTGATACTTGTATTCTTCTTTCTTCGCCTAACTGCAAGGCTGTGTTCACATCTAAATATATCTTTTCCAAAATAAAAAATAAAAAAATGCTTACAAAAAATCATTTGTACTCTCTCTCTAGTTTCATCATTTTATTTTTTAAGTCAAAGATTATATATATATATATATATATATATTGATTAAGTCCAAATGATCTAAAATATTCTATTATAAAAAATAAGATTAAAACTATCTGAGTTTGAGAATAAAGATCTTAAACTAATTTAGTTTTAGAAAAATACTACTTTTCTATAATCATTTGGATTCAAATTTCACTGTGTTTGGAAATTTTTAATAAAAGAAGTTAGGAAAATCATGGAAAGTATAAATAATAAAATACAAATATTTTTTATATTGGTATGCCATAGTTTAAGAAGATATAGCAGCATTATATTTGGCATTGACTCAAAAGAAAAGAATTATTGACATGCCACAATTTAGGAGAATATAACGATATTGTAGTTGATTTTGACGATGAACTGGTTTTGATGCTATACTCATTTAATAGATTTGTAGTATGTCGTAGTTGATTTTCACAAGATAGAACCATTTTCATGTAAATCAAAACTATTATTATTATTATTATTTACATAATTAAAATGTTTTTTTTAACATATCATGTTGAATATTTTGAAAATTATGTTTAGAAATACTAACCACAAAGATCGAATCTTGAATCTAATTTATAAATCGACATTTGCTTACTAAAAAATTATTACTTTATGATTGATTTTAATTCACACTCTAACACATCTATTTTAACTTTTTAATAAAAACTCGAAAAATTAAAATTTGGAATATGCTTACAAATTTGTTATGCCCCAGGAAAGGAATTTTAACGAAAACCAAATACAACAATCAATTTTTTTAGCAGTAAATTAATAAGTCAGCCAAGAAATAGCTGCACAATATGTACTTATAAAAAATCCTTTCGGCCTAATTACGGCAATGAAAATATAAATGGGAAAATCAAAATAAAAACTTAGACCCATTTTGAAACTTAATCAAACATATTATAATCACCACCATTTTCCACGACCTAAAAAAAGCAAAAAATAATACTACCCATACTTTTCGCCACATTATCATCTCTTTCTCTATAGAGGTTTTTGATGAACGTTGCTGACCTGACCTGCATGAAACCCGGAAGTCAACGAACCCAATGCCGATTGCCAGCCAGCCAGCCAGCCACCGCATTTCTCAGTTTTCACCTTGGCTTAGTGGGTTCAGGTTCAGACAAGACCCAACCCAAACTCTTGGTCATAACTCACCCAGTTGAACCACATTTAAAAAAGCACTGGTTTCATTAAAACCAATCCGGTTACAGTGAAAGCCACGCAGTAAATTAAAGCGGAAACAGGCCCCGGCGGTTGGGGCATACCCACTTTTGTCATTAATGTCTGCCTCTCCTCTCTTAAAACCCCGTGCCATCAGCCATGCCTACGTTCCAGTTCCAGACATCTAATAAGGATTATTATTATTATTATTATTTTAACTGTAAACAACATTTCGCTTTAAATGCTTGGTTTAATGGTCAAAAACATGTGTTTTTTTTTAAAAAAAAAATTTGAGTTCAAATTTTAAACTTAATAATAAAAAATTTTAATTTTGATTAACGTATAAATTGATATAAAAAATATTTATTAATTTAAATTAGTAAAAATAAAAATTAAAACAATATTTAGATTTGTACGAACATGCATGTGAAATGAATTTTAGTTTACCAAGCCAATACCAATAGTAGTATTAAATTATTTTAAGATAGGAAATTAGAATCGCAAAAGATTTTATTATCTGCAAAGAAGCAAAGAGACGGACGGTATCCTGTATTATTGAATACGAAAGAAATCCATTATTATTATTATTATTATTATTTAAGGAAAAGAAAAGGAGTCTGGCTGGCTCAACTCAGCAGAAGAATAGCAGCAGCATCGAAAGCAGAATCAAAGCTCGTGATTGGAGGTAAAGAATATTACTACACAGAGCAAGAAACATTTAAAGCTGTTTTATTTTTATTTTATTTTTTGGTTTCTCTTTCATTTCACTCAAGAAAACAAGCTGTACGTGTTGAGGCACAGAGAGAAGAGAAGAAAAGAAGAAGGCAGCAGTCAACACCAACACCAACAACAGTTCTTGAAGAGGAAGACGAAGGAGACGAAGAAGATGAGCTTCCATAGACCACAATAGACTCCAGCTTCTTACATTATAACAAGAAGGAGGAGGAGGAGGAGGAGGAGGAGAAGCCATGAAAGAGTTTCTTTTAGTTACAATCTTGGTGTTGTTTCAGTGCACGTTGGGTCAGCAAGATTTCTTGAAGTCAAGAATTGAACGGTCAGCATTGCTTGATATCCGGTCGTCTTTGGGGATAAGAAGCACAGACTGGCCAATAAAATCCAACCCCTGCAAGAGATGGACAGGAATCCAATGCAGAAACGGGCGGGTCAATGGGATCAATATATCCGGGTTTAAGCGGACTCGGGCCGGGCGTTTGAGCCCCAGTTTCAGTGTTGATTCTTTGGCTAATTTTACTTTCTTGGAGTCTTTTAATGCTTCGGGCTTTTCACTTCCTGGTTCAATACCGGATTGGTTTGGTTACCGGCTTGGTTCTTTAAAGGTTTTGGATCTCCGGTCTAGTTCAGTTACCGGTCCGATTCCTGCTTCGCTTGGTAATTTAACTAGACTCAATGCTTTATATCTAGCTAATAATGATCTTGCTGGTAGTATGCCTGCTGCATTGGGGCGGCTAATGCAGTTATCAGTTCTTGATCTTTCAAGGAATTCACTTACTGGACGAATACCAAATGATATTGGATTGCTTAGTAATCTATCAAGACTTGACCTTTCTTCCAATTACTTTTCTGGGTCCATACCATCTACTCTCGGCAGTATTTCTAGGCTGCAATTCTTGAATATATCTGATAATAGCCTTATGGGTTCGTTGCCTGTTGAATTGGGTAATCTTTCTCACTTGGTTGAGCTTAATCTTAGTATGAATGCGTTATCCGGGTCGTTGCCTGAAGAGTTTTTGCGGTTGAGGAGTTTGGAAATGCTGATGTTGATGGATAATCAATTGGAGGGTAGATTGCCGGATGGTTTGTTTTCGAGTCTTGGTGAATTGAGAGTTTTGGATTTAAGAGACAATAAATTTGATGGTGCTCTTCCTGGTGCTTTGTGGTCATTGCCGAATTTGCAGGTTCTTGATGTTTCTGCTAATAATTTGACAGGTAATTTGTCGGATTTTAGTTTCAAGGGTCATGCCAGTGGTGCTGTGTTTAATCTTTCGAACAATCATTTATATGGAAATCTAGATTTTTTATCTGGAAACTATACTTTCATTGATTTGTCGGGTAATTATTTCCAAGGAAAGGTTCCTCTTAGCAGTTCAAGCAATGGCAACCTTGACATGAACTGCCTTCAGGCGGTGTCTGATCAGAGAAGCTTGGAAGACTGTAGTTCGTTTTATGCTGAGAGAGGCTTAACTTTCGATTATTTTGGAAGTCCAGAACCAAGACAGCAGCCATTACCTAATCCTGCTCCAAAGAGAATCAAACGATGGATATACATCCTGGCAGGATTGCTTGGTGGAGTTGGTTTCATTGTCCTTTTGGTACTGGTGATAGTAGTGGTCCTTAGGAAGTGTAATAATACCACTTCAAATGAAAGGGGAAGTGCAGATGTGGGGCCTGTTCCAGATGGAGATAGCCCCTCACTTCCTAAGGATCCTATTAGCGTATCTAGTACGGGAGAGTCATTTATGTATGAACAGTTGCTCGGTTTCACTGGTGAATTTAGTGAAAGAAATCTCATCAAACATGGTCACTCTGGAGATCTCTACAAGGGTTTTTTGGAAGGAGGAATTCCCATCGTTGTCAAAAAGATTAATTTGCATAGCTTGAGAAAGGATTCCTACATGACGGAAATAGAATTTTTCAGCAAGTATTCACATGCACGTTTGGTCCCGCTTCTGGGACATTGTCTGGAGAACGAAAATCAGAAGCTTTTGGTATACAAGTATATGCCGAATGGAGACTTGGCTGAATCTTTGTACAGGGTAAACAATTTTGAGGACGATGGTTTGCAGTCCCTAGATTGGATCACAAGACTGAAAATTGCTATAGGAGCTGCTGAAGGCCTCTCTTACCTGCATCACGGGTGTAACCCTCCCCTTGTTCATAGGTACTTATACTTTCTTTTGGATAGACTCACTTTTTCTCTAATTGATTGGGCAGTGGTTCTGGTTATGCCGATCTTATTTTATGTAGTTTTACTTATACCTGAATTAGAATTATAATGCACTGTGTGAATGGAGAAGCTCACACATTCACATTCAGTATTCAGTATGCAATCTTTTGTGCTTGATATCTTGTCGATTTAAGGTCTGGTCTAAGTTGACATTCTCAATCACCTATTTATTGCTAATTAGAATAGTTGTTTCTGCTGCTTAAATTCATACGAGACTGAAATAAGTGTTGCAATGTTCTAGTTTTATGAAGCTGACTTGCAAACTGTCTTCTGCCCTTGGGTACTAGCTCAAGAGTTAAAGGCCAAGGGTGTGACTAGAGCAGGATGTAGATTCATATATTTATAAAAACGTTTGTCTTCGGATGATGTTTCTGTAGATTATAGCGAACTTCTCAAATGCTTTGAAACAGTTTCCTTTATCATTTTCTTTATTTCGGCTATGAACTAGTCATTTAGCACACATGATATTTCCATCTTTGTGATGGAAAATTTCCATCCTTTAAGTTCTCAAATGCAATTACCTTTTGGTGTTTGAAGAGATGTTCAAGCGAGCAGTATCCTTCTTGATGATAAGTTCGAGGTTCGACTTGGAAGCTTGAGTGAGGTTCGTATCCAGGAAGGGGATTCACACCCAAATGTTCTCACAAGGTTCTTGAGGAAGTCCCAGTAAGTATTATAGCTATAATTTCTTTGGGCATTTTGAAGTATTGCATTCACTTGGGAACGATGGCAGTGGTCTGTGTAGTGATTTGACCCATGCCCCGATGGGTTGTTCTTTGCCATGTTACATAATACTCCAAATTAACATAATGAGCAGAAAAATGGGTTGAGTGTTCAATTAACCTGATGTAATGTCCTGGAAAGCTCTCTAGTTTTGCCAATAAGATTGTTGGTTCACTCACTTTGTCTTTGGCATCATCAGTGTGATTACTAGAAGTGCACTTGGTTCTTTTAGCATTTGGTTACACGAAATCAAGTGGCAAGTGATGCTGTATGTGTAGGATAAGAGAAGATTAATGTATTTGCCTTTCATTCACGCTATGACTACTGCTCCTCTTCATTTTTATTATGCTTTGTTGAAGATTTAATAACAATTCCTCTTGCTGATGTGCAGATCCTCTGTCTCTGATCCTGGAACTTCTGGTATGTATAACTCTCTCACAAGTAAACTTCTTGACCTTTTAAAATTTGTAGCATGTCAATTTGTCATAGTAGGTATAATTATGAGATTGGTCTGAGGTCAATCGTTGCTAAGGGCCTAGCTGCTTATTCTTATGTAGAGATGATTGTGAAGCTGTATGCATTCTTAGATTCTAATCTTTTAAGTGAATAATCTTGGTTGACACTTTATTAATACATTGAGTAAACTAAACTTACGGATCAATGCACAAGTGCTAACAAATAACATAGCTCCGAAGTTGAAGTTTCATTAAGAATTCATACATAAATAGTATATTGCCAATTGCAGCTTTCCTTCTTTCCAATGATTTTGAGTATCACAACAAGTTTCAGTTCTCCAGCTTTTTAATGAGGTTGGAAAAACAAAATTAAGTAAATCCTGATAAATCTCTTTGATAATGAACAGGCTCGTCCCCGGCAACTTGTGCTCATGATGTGTATTGTTTTGGAAAGGTCTTGCTTGAGCTTGTTACTGGCAAGCTTGGCATCAGCAAATCAGATGATGCTACCACTAAGGAGTGGTTAGAACAAACGTTGGCACAGATCAGTATATATGACAAGGAACTGGTGGCAAAGATTGTTGACCAATCTCTTATCATAGATGAAGATTTATTGGAAGAGGTATGGGCAATGGCTGTCGTGGCCAGGTCATGCCTTAATCCCAAACCCTCTAAACGTCCTCCAATAAAATATGTTCTCAAAGCGTTGGAAAACCCTCTGAAAGTGGTGAGAGAGGACAGTTATAGCTCAGAGAGGCTGAGGACAACTTCATCTAGGAGATCTTGGAGTGCTGCCTTTTTTGGTAGTTGGAGACACAGCTCAGACAATGCTACAGTTCTGGGCCATGCTAACCGAGAGGGGATTGGTGGCTTGAAGCAGCCAGAGAGAGTTGGATCTCAGGGCAGTGGCGGGATTGAATATTCATTTTCTAATAAAAGGTTATCCAATGAAGTTTTCCCTGAGCCGCTTGAAATGCAAGATATGGAGAGGCTAGATGAGGATTAGATTATCTGCAGTGGTGTTCGCAATTGTTCATATGTTTTGTGGGTTCCACATTTGAGTGCTCAGCGGCATCCTCGAATCTGTCTTTGGTATCATTTCATCAGAAATCAAAGCAATTAAATGATGATTATAATCTGATGGGCCACGAGTGATGAAAGATTCGCGCAATGGGGCTAACAGTGTTAGCTAATAGTTTGGAGAGTGGAAGTTATTTTACAGAAATATTCTTTGAGGCTTTCAGAGTTTGTTAGTTTCGGGCACAAGCTGCAATTTTTCTCTGTAATTGATTATTTCCCATAGCTACTGGTATGGAATACATAGATGTAAAAGACGAGGTTTATTTTCAGTGTTCTCAGGTTTTCTACGTCTCAGGTATTAGAAACCAATACGGTGTAATTTTACCTCAGTTTTCCATGTTCAGAATTCAAATTCAGTAAATGCAAGACTAATTTTGGGGGTGCAAAAATCGGCTTTGACTTGTGAAAAAAGACTAATGCAAGTAGTCATCCTAACGAAACAGAGCTGCAATGGCAGTTTTCCATGTTTGCATCCTTGTTCATGCTACCAATGGGATTTTCAAATAACCGGAGATGTTCATGGTATTCAGAAACTTCAAATTTGATCAAATATTATGACGGTTTTTAGTTCCTTCGCCCCCTGATTTCTACCAACTACAATAAGCAAGAAAATGAAGCTAAACCACCGAAAAAAGAAAAAAGCAAAAAGGACACAATATGAACCTACTTACGTCCAGTAATTTTTTCGCATTTCAAACTTGACTTTTCCTTGTTTCAGTGTATAAAGCTGTAGAGATATTTCATGATTTTTTAAAACCTTAATTTGAAGGATACAGTTAAAGAGTTTTTTAAAAAAATTAAAATGCACGAAGTGCTCAAAGTTTAAAACGCGGCTTAATGGGTTGACAGTCAAAACCCAAGGTATGATAAATTTAATTTTACTGCTGAAATGTGCTCTCAACACGGAAGCATTAGGCAATCTGAACCTAGCGATCATACGCTGCTTTCTTCTTCCAATATGACCAATCTCATTATTTTTCATTATCACAAAAATTTTTTTAAAAAAATCCAATTACATTATTTTTACTTAATAGTATCAAACATATGCATAATTGCAAACAAAGTTCAATTAAATTAATTAGCAAAATTAGAATTGAATTTCAGAAATTTATCACACACATCTTAGTGTACGTAAGCTTTGTTTAACGAGTCATGCGTTTCTTCAGATTTATCGAAGAATAGAAAAACTTATATTCTAAAAACAAAAACAAAAAAATCACACAGTTAATAGCAAATATCAAATACGCTGCCCAGACGTACTAAAAAAATCTAAAAGGAAGAATGTTACTACGTGATCAAACTTGGTTCTCCTGCTCAGTATCTCTCCAAAATTTGCCCATCTCTTTCTCACGTTACCACTCAAAAGTCAAAACTGTGTGATATACTAGTGGCCATCAATATAGTTTAACGCACAGACCATGGCCACACTTTTAAGTTGGAATAAAAAAGGAAGAAATCATGATTAAATGGAGTAAATACTATATATTGTTGTAAGCATCTAATCGTATAAAAACAGAGTTATTCATGTCACACTTTCATTAAAAAGGGGGAATCTCAGCGACACATAAAAGGAAAAGAAAAAAAGAACCATTTCGGTTAAAGGACTATCTAATATCCTTTCCATGGAAAAAAATTAAATTATGCTCCCTTTTGAGCTGTAGTCAGCAAGCAAACAGGGTTCACATGGGAAGAATATTGAATTCATGCGGCATAAAGTCTTCACTGGGTCTATAGTATTTGTTTGGAGAGTACAGACTTAAGTTGGATACTTGGCTGGTATAAAGGCAGGCAAATCTTTCAACCTGTATGTGGAGAAGACATTTAAGAATAAACCGAAAAGAAAACAAGGAGATACTTAGGTCAAAAAACTCAATTTAATGGAATAGCATTTGAAAAGGGCAGCAATGAACACTAGGGCTTCATGGTCAAAAAAGTTTACAAGCAAAAAGGAAGAGAATGCAAGCTTGTCCCATTTTTTGAGGGAAAATTTTGGCCCAGCATTTTTGAAAAGAAAGCACGCACCCTAGGTACTACGATGAAAGGACTTAGATCTCACCTGATGCGCAAAGCGAGAGTTTTGGTAGCCAGTCTTCATGAGTTGTCCCCAGACCTTGTGAAACTGTAAATCAACCAAAGAGGTCAGAAATCAAATAAACTTATCATTAGACTGGTTGCAGCGAGATAGAAACATATGTCCTAAGGGACAAGAGAGTTCCTTTACCTTTTGGTGACATTCTCGTTGAGATTGTTGATGTTTGATTCTTACTTGATCCCTTTGGAGCTGTTCAAAGAAACCATTGAAGAACTAATCATAAGTAATTTTATCATTTAGTGTAAATATTCTAACTGCAACACTAGCTTCAAAAAACAAGCAACCTAACCTCCAAATCCTCTACGAAAGCAGACTTCTCCTTCTTCTGATCAAAATTAAGATCTTCGACGCTGTGAAAGAAATTCCAGTTTCATTTTTTCTTTTTTGCAAACAAAAGAACTAATATCATAGCAAATCAATTGTTTCTTTCAAAAGTTTTCGTTTACTCATGTCACTAGTATTCTATCATCTTTGCACTTACTACGAGCAAGTCTATTAGTGCACAACAGTGTTTGAAATCCGTACAAGCAGATTTCATTTTATTCTGCACCTACCACATTGTGATAAAAAGCCTTAATACAGTCTCAATTTTGGCAGCTAATGTCATGAAGAGAAGACAAGAAAATTTCAGAAAAATCCCCACCATGGATCAATTAGCTGAGGGAAACAGATTAAATAACTCTACACAAAATTGCCCGTTACTTAGGGAAGGTTGGTTTTGGGGGATTTAAAGAGGTCATTTGTTTATGTAACCATATGGTCAGAAAATAAGACTCCAGATATGTAATTACTCAAGAGACCACTTTAGACGATGTATTTGATCTTCAATGTGATCACGGTTGCGTCTCATCAATTGAAGAGCCTGCAAAAAAGTTTATGAAAGGGAAAAGATGAGCAACTGACTCAGCCAGGATAAACAACTTAGTTCGTCCTTGAAAAGCTTAATCATCAACTGATTTCACTGTTGGACCACAAAATGGACCATCTTAGGCATCTCATGACCAAATGGATAATCAGTACTAAACAGTCAACATAGCAACAGCAAGGCCTGAAATACAGTTGTCTGAAAAGAAGATATAAAGCCCTCTGACTGCCAGCAGAAGGGGTGTGCCAATATGGTTCCACAATGCCATCCGTGTAATGATTTGATTTAAGCAATTTCAGTAACAAAAATTATAAAATTAAGGTAGATTCTGTGTATCCAATTGACCAAAACAACTAATAGTAATTGGTGTTTATTAATGAATATGCTAAATGCTATTGCAAAATATGGTCTTTTTTCTGAGATCCAGAATCTTGAACTCCCATTATTAGTATTTTCTACAAGTACAAAGCATATGGTAAATTTGTCATCAGAGCTTAAGAAATTTCAACAATTACCTTACGTGAGTCCCTTAGTTCCCAAAGCAGTTTAACCTCTGTCTCAAGCTCTGGAACAACAAGCATTGTTCTCCAACCTACTCATAGAGGCAAAAGGGCAAGTAAACCACAAAAACCAATGCAAAAAACACACAACACCCCATAGCCATGGCTATGTCTGATATTTTAATTGCAAGACTGCGATTGACAAGGTTGGGCTGCAAGGGGGAATTTGAGATGTTTAAGTGACGAATTAGAGATATCAAGTGTCAGCTTCTATTTTCATTCATTCCCTATGCAGACCCTAAAATAGTTAGTGGATCCCCCATTTAAAGATTACTAAGTGCCATATTCAATATGATAATTCACAAGTAGTCCATATTAACTTCAAAGGCTAGAGCAAATAGAAATAAGAAGATTAGAAAAAATGCAATACCAAGAACTTTTTTGCTGCGTAAAATATCTCCATAGATATGATCCCCAACATACAGAACCTATGGAATTAAGAGGAAGTTAGATCTAAAATCAGCACATGCATGGATCCAAACAAAAAGATAATTCAGGAACAAGCAGCTCAGCATACGGCATAAGCAAAATGAATTTCTAAACTTTTCAAGGATTTCAAACATCAATTGTAAAGTGACTAATTATAGATAAAAAACGAAAATGATAAACCCACTTTCTTTCTTCTTGCTATGTATAAATTTCTGCAAAATAACAGTCCATAATCACAAGAAAGGTTTTCTTTCATGTTTATGGGCAGTACTCTCCTTACACGCCTTTCATGCCCATAAAATAAAACTAGAAACAAAAGAAGGAAAATATAATTTGTACAAAGAACTACCTGTGAACTTGACTCAATTGAGAGCAGCTTATGCAGATGACGCACAGTCCCTCCCTGAAACGTCAGATTGAAGGTCATCATTAGATGTCTCATATTAGTCATTTCCATCTCAAAATTCATTTGATGTGATCTAAAGTGACTGATGCTACTTTTTACATACAATTTATGAGATCGATTTCATTTTACTCAGAACTTTATAAAACACACCTGGAAAACCTTGCAATGCTTATTTTGCTTCTTCAGTGTGATGATAGGTGAAGTATTTCCAACCTTTTTGAAAAAAGATTCGAGAAAATCATTAAAAAAACATAATAAGAAGAAGCATTTAAGATTGTCAAACATTGTTTAACAGAGAATAATTATAAACTAACCTGAGCCATAGGAGTTCCATTATCAGTATTGATTAGCTTCCCAGATTCGGGTTCAACCTCAAAAAGATTAGCATTACTTTCTTCATGGAAAAATCCTGGTTTTGCACTGAATATATATTCAAAAGTCAAAAACTATGTCATGCATTACCGTAAAACAAGAAGAAAAAATTGAAACTTCTGGCGGAACAGAATTTCTACAATAAGAGAGAAAATGAATACTGCAAAGTTTGGATATCATTCTATCTAATTATCAGTGCAAGACAATTACAAGCACCTTTAAGTATGCAATCCATGGTTTTATGACATGTTTATGGAAGCTAACCATTAGTTTGTGAAGTGATTTTTTTGTAATTTTAATGAAACTATTATGCCAAATGCTAATTACTAAAAGGGGGAAAAAACCCAACAATCTATATTTTTGCTCTGCCTATGCTGTTTTAAGGAAAAAACATAACCTGCCAGTGATGATAACATTGAAGTACTGAAGCCAATCAAAGTTGCAAGCATCCAAGGTATGGGACTCGCAGAGAAAATTCATCACAATGTTCGTATAGTCCCATAAACTGCAAAGATAAACCAATGATTACTTATCGTGCCAGCTCTAGTAAGTTGTAACATCCAGAAAAGTCACATGCAAACAACTAAAAGGAAACCTAACAGGCTGTTATGTGACATTCATTCTGAATATGGAAAGATATTCATTGTTCATTATGGTCCAATAGTTATATTATAGAGAAAAGGGAAAAAAAACAGGAAGGCCGAGGGGGATTTAATACCTATTTGTTACCAAGAACGTTGCACGTTGAGAATCTCTGAGCATTTTGAGCATTGGAACTATAGACTTATCCTCATTGATGTACCTAGTAGATGGAATCCAGAGACATAAAGACAAAAACACCCATAATCCAAAAAAATAAAATAAAATGAACTAGGTCAAAAAGCGTTTTCAAAATATCCCAAAAATGTATATATAAGAAATGTCTATTCTGTCTCAGACCAGCATCCATTAGATCACTTGTCTACTCAGCAAAATATACTGTGATAAAGGTCTCTTCTTGAGTAATTAACTATAACCTTCCTAAATAACAAGCATAAATATCACAAATGATAATTTAGTTACAATTACAACTGACTCTGAGGAATGAATGTCAAATTTTTAACTTACTTCTTAGGATCTTTTGCTACCATTTGCTTTAAAGTTCCATCACGATGGCACATATCAACTGCAGATCGAACATCTTTGTACATGCCAGCATAACTGAAAGTGTTGGTTGTGAAACAATGAGCAACTACAACGAGCTTTTAAGATCTACACTTCTTTGAAGAACAGAACAGGTCTACCCTCCACCACATTCATTAGTTATTTATTATCCGCAAGCAACTGTAGGCGATGCTGGTGGACATTATTCAATAGCAATAGGCATTATTCAATAGGAATACAGTAACATGTCAACTTTAATATGAACCCGAATAATTATTTGACAGCTAAAAGTTGGATAACCTTAACTATGGGAAACCCTTTGTGAGACACTACGTTAATTCATTTGCTAAAAACCTCGTCTGTGTTATGTTACCATACTACGACATTCTCTGCTGCTATTTAAACCACACGTAGACAGGCCTGTTTTTACTATTCCAAGTGAACTCTTTTATTGCAAAACCAGTGACATTCACAGCAGAGAAACATGTTCTGCCAGAAGATGGTATATTTTTGGCCTTAAAAGCTTTTTTAATCCAAATCAAAGTTCTAGCAAGAACTAAGTTGGTACATTAGTAGGCAAATAATCAGCACATATGAAAGGGAATAGAAAAGGCATTTTGTTTGGTTGGAATTTCCTATCATAGAGAAACCCACAGAAACAAATGAATAAAGAAAAGATCTGGTACTGGAAAAGACAAATAAAAATATGTGCCTAGTTCTTACTCAACTCTTGCTGGAACTCTTCCTGGATTTTTGTCCATAAAATCAACAAGTTGGGCAAACAAATAGGCTTCAGCTAATGAGAAAAGAGTATCAATAAGCGCATAATCTGGCTCATCAAAAGCATCTCGTATCAGAGTATTCCCATAGGTGCCAACTTTCTCTTCCTTGGTCAACTCTCTAAATCCATGGTATGCCACTTTCACATATTTATGACGATCCATCTGTATAATGCAAATTACAAGTTCAAATATTTTCCCACACAATCGTTCTTTAAATAATAAACATATAATAAGAAATTAATGATGAGGAACCTTCAAGATATTGCCTCTCTTTTTATCTAGAACCAATCCTCTGACCATGTACTTCCAATTAAATTGCCAACCCAACAACTGCACAGAAACACCATTCTTAGCCAACATACTGCCAAATCAAATGGAGCAAAGAAGCTCGGGGTTTTAAGAAAGAAACCTCTTCAGGATAGCCAAGATTAGACACCAACTTTTCGATCGTGCCTTGATACGCAAGTTTTTCAAAGGTTTCAGGCTTATACTGTGCCAATGTGTAATCCATATCAAAGCCGACAGCTATGATGTTTCTCATATTCAATGACCTATTGCAGAAGATTCGTTTTCCAAGTTCAACTTCATCTTTCCCCCTTCAGGAGATGACCATATGCATGGTTCTTGAACTCCATCCCTACACTCCATAGGCTCAGAACTCAATCTCTTGTCACCTAAAACAGCCTTCCGACCCTTGTCCATCGTATAGCTTGTGTGCAACTGATTAACTCCTGATATATTCAAAAGAATTAACTTCTAAAGCCGATAAAGAATCGCAAATTGCACTATGCACAACACGAATGAAATCCATTACTCAACAAATTCAAGAAAACAAGATTTTATGCTACATACAAGATTTACATTAAACCATCGTATTAGATGGACGAAAAACACGCATGATTAAAGTGAAATAAATAAATAAATAAATAAATAAAGTGCTCTTATGATCAAGTTGACCAATCTACATAGTCCAACACTATAGGTGAAATGACTAGCAAATAGCATACAACAGCCATTATTTTATCTACCATAACAAAAAATAAAAATACTGTTTTCTTCGTCAAAAAAAGAAAAAGGAAAAAGAAAAAGAAAAACCAAGAATTCAATTGTTGACATCTTACCTGCAAATTTGAATCAAAAAGCACACAGTGAAAGTGCACACCACGTTTATGTTCCCAGTCTATGTATCTTCCAACATTCGCTCCAAAGTAACACCTAAAAATCCAATTCCTCCATCAAAACCTACTCTAATTCCACGTAAAATCCTAAACTTTCTCACCAAATTTTACACTTAAAAAAAAAAGTAAAAAACACATTTCTTCAACAATCACAACAAGGAAAAAACATGCAGATGTTTAAAATGGATAATGATGCTGTTTGATTCAAGGAGAAACGAATTCAGTAAAAACTAACCTGCAGTGTGTATTTGTTTTGGTTTGGCGAAGGAGAAATTAGGAATTTTATGATGAAATCCCGAATAAAAGCTTATTCGGGAATCAAAAGGACGGGAGAATTCAGGAGAGAAAAGAGAAAGGCAAAAAGAAACCGGTTTCTTTAGAATTCGCATTCTTTGGGGAATTAAATAGGCATGTCGAGTTGAACTGAGTTGGATAAGAAAGAAGAATCCGATCCCAGAATAACCTAAAATGTGCTATTACAACAACTAAGCGGGGAAAGTGAAGCTATACTATTCTTGTACCGGAATTGGATTATCCATTTTTGGGCAAGAAAACGAATTCAATTCCTAGATAGTGCGCGTATTCTTTTTCCTTGTCACCTGTATTTTTTAGTTTAGATAGACTGATAGAGAGAGGAGATGAAATTACAGAGGATCAGGATTCCGCTTGTTTGCCACGTGTTTATCTTTCCCGTGCTGCGCCTGTCACTTGTGCAAACGTGGATCGTTTTTTTATTTTTTTTCCTCACTTTATATTCCGAGTAAATTATAAATTAGTAAAGAAACGAATTAACTAGCTTTTTTTATTTCAAAAATTAATTATTTTAATTTTTATGCATTTATACTTTTTTGATATATTTTATTTTTATATTAAAAATAGAAAAATAAATAAATATTATGAAAATTTGATGATTAAAAAATATTTTTTGAAAACAATATTAAATTAAAAATAATAATACAGATTAAAAAATTAAATAATTATTTTTTTCTCAATACTCGGGGGACAAATTATAATTTTTACGCTTATATTTCTGAGTCTGATGATGCTTCGTCCTCTTCTGCAACTGAGAAAATGTCACAATTTTCTTTTTGGTTTTTTAAAAAATTTATTTCATAATAATTACCTCATAAAAAGAGAAAAAAATGAAAAGAAAAGGATATGAGGCATTCAGTGTAGTGGATATTTTGTGGCAAGTTAGCTGGACCAGGACAAGATGTTTTGGATTTTAAAAAAATAAATAATAGCTGTGATAAGCTAGAGAGAGAGATGGTTAAAGACGAGTCATTTTCCAAGATGTGTGATTCCTGAGTGATTCTTCACCACTATCAAGGGATCCTGTATTTTGAATACGGAATAGATTCCCCGTCAACATAACGGTAGTGAAAATATAACACAATTAGAATAATAAACGTATTCAAGTCTTAGTTAGTACGATGGTCAATAAAATAAGCCCATTTCATTGATTTTCTGAATTATAAATTTGAAATCCATGAAGAAGTTTTACTAAAATTGTTCGAAATTTTTTTTATAATCTAAAAATTGGTTACAAATACTTATAAATATCAAATAAAACGAATAAATAACTAGATAAATTGGCATATTCGGATGTTGGGATTTTTAGCCAAATAACTTTTAAATTGTGATAATTTGGATAGTTTTTGGCTTTCTCAATCAATATTTTCTTATTTAATACAGCACAATAACCTTATATATACACACAGAATATTAAATTCTAAATAAAAAAAGTAAAAACTATATAAGAAAAGAAAAAGTTATGCAAATCAAATCAGCTACAATGAAGCTTGTAATCTCATAGTCAATTATTATAATTATAGATCGTAATCATTGACCTTATAACTTAGCCAATAATGACGTTTACCCCCTTAAAAAAAAAAAAAAACTCAATGTGAGAATGTAGATACCATCTTGAATTTGCTTTGTATGTCGTAAAAGTGATTGGGAAGGTGAGTTTTGATGAAAATATCAACGAGTTTAGTCAATAGATGAAACAAATACCAAACACAAAGTGCTTTGAGTTGCAAGGTGACCAACAAAATGACAATCAATCTTATTATAGTTAGTGCATTCATGAAAGACTTTATTGTGAGCAATTTGAATAATACTCGGATTATCGCAATAGAGAATTGTGACGGATGAACAGTGGATGTCCACATTGGTTAATAACCAACGGATCTATAGTAATTCGGAGGTGACATCGGCAAGAGCACGATACTTTGATTTAGTACTAGAACGAGTCATGGCGATTTGCCTTTTGCTTCGCCAAGAGATGAGAAAGTCTCCTAAGAAGAAATAATACACCGAGTAGTAGAACGATGATCAATGGGGTTATCAGTCCAATTAGCATCAAAATAGCCGGATAACCGTAACACCTCCAACCTAGGACCTAACGGGTAAAGAATATTATTGTCGTTGACTTATATTCGAAGTGCGATAAATGCAAAAAAAAAGACATTGTGTCTTTCCTATGGTATTATTAGGTATGAAATTAGCTATAGAAGCCTAACATTGATGAGTAGGTCCTAAATTCAATCCAAAATGCACTATAATTTTTTCATGTTTTAGTATTTTATTTAAATTGCTTGGATTGAATAAACTGGATGTATGACGCTCAATTTATTCAAATTCCTTTTCTATTAGCTTGTATAAATTCATTTAATCATTACCCGTTGTTCGGAATTTAATTTATTTTATCCTTATTAATTATCATTTATTATAATTATTTCCTTATCAATTTTATTTTCTTATTTTATTATTAACACTAACATGTAAGAAATTAATTAAAAATAAACTACACTAATTATGATTGTACTACTACCTTACTATTGATATTTCGACTAATATACAAAATATTTTTAATTTACATATACTTGTTCTATGCCACATACTAAAAAAATGGCTTATTATTTATTTACATCTATTTCTTTTCCATCTAACTACTCATTTCTTTATGGCTTTAACTATCATATAAAAAAACGATGTCATACCTAATATGTAAACTAAAATACCGAGTCCTAATATAACTATTGTCCGAAAGAGGTCCACCTTGCAACCATATTTAAGATACATGTGACGAACTAATCCCTCGGTAGTCAGCTCAAATGTGAACATTGCCATCTTTACCTTAAGTGTCTACATCATAGGAATTTGATAGGCGATTGCTCGATAAATTAATCCATGCATGACGTACATGTAAATGAAATTCATATGATAAATTATTTGCATGATCTTTGAAAAATCCTTTTTTGTGTCATAAAATCCTCATCATAATCATTTTGAAAAATCTTTTCTATCTTTGGACATGTCATGTCCTCGGACTTTAAGATTTTCATGATATGTTTGGAGAATCAAACTAGTACGCGGACGCGTCCTATTGAGTCTTTGAAAGTTCACTCTGTACCCACTTGACCTTGAATTATGAACCATGAAAGTCATGAAAAACCCATGAAGCCCCTTTCCATAAAACCATGACAAGTAATGAAAACCTTATAACCATGAATTATCTCTAATTGCTATTGGAAAATCCTTAAAGGAAAGTCCTTTTTCGGGGCTTCAAACCATTTTCATAAAATCTTTTTCATGACTTGGCATGCATATGCATTTTAATGTAAATGCATAATTATCATGAATTCATGTAATGCATGTCATTAATATAAATGTACCATGATAATCATACCTTGTAATACCATTTCAAATCATTCCAAATCATGAAACCATTAACTTAAACATTACATAACCATACATTGGCAACAAAACACAAGGCATTACACTTCTTTAATCATCAAATTCATAACTTCCACACATTGTAATCACATGATTCACATTCAATGGTAACAAGTAAACCATGCCACAATTATAACATACAAAGTGAGTCATAAACCTAATTTTTCTCAATGTGGTTGCATATGTCCATAACTTAAGCTAGGTAAATTTTTCAATTGCAGTGCCAATTTCCATGTTAAATCATCTAAATGTACTTTAATATTAAAGAACTAATAAATTAATCTTCTATAAATTCAATGCACTAAAAACCCTACTTTCGGCTAATTGGGCCGAAACTTAGGATAAACTAGATTAATTTTTAATTTTAATGAAATCTCTCGTGTTAAATCATCTTTTTATACTATACTAACTTGAAATTTATCAATTAAACCATTAGAAATCAAAAGCATTAAAACTCCAATTTTCTCCTAAATTGGGTTGAATGTGGGCTTAGGATAACTAGGTGAAAATTTTAATTTTTATGTAATTTCTCATGCTAAATCATCTATTCATGCTTAAATAAAACATAATCAAATAATAATTCATCAAACAAACCAAAGAATCAAAAACCCTAAATCTAACTATTTGGGTCGAATGTTCCATAAAGAATCAAGCTAAGAAATTCTTGTTTCTAACACATATTCTCATACTCAATTAACATATTCTAACTTCAATTGCATGAATTTCCAAGTCAAAATCATTTCCCCTAAATTTTCCTCACTAAGAACCCTAACTTTAATTTTCAAAATTAATTCAATTAAACACAAATTAAAGATTCCAAACTAATAATTGGTATCAATTAACATCCTTATGGTGTAGGTGAGATTAAATTATCTCCTAAGCTCTAATTAAACCTTCAAAAGATTTATTTTCTTTGAGATTTTCCTTCGTCTTTTTCTTCTCCTATATTCGACCATGATGCAACTCTTTCCCCTTTGGAATTTTTGAGCTTCTAACTAAAATCCTAAGCTTGTTAAAGTGTTTTAGAGTGATTTAAGTCGTTTAGGTAAAATTTTATGTGGAAGTCTATGAAAATTTTGCAAGAATTTCATTTATGCTCTACTATTTTTCCTAACATTTTTTCTTTTCTCTTCCACCCATATTTATAGGTAAAATTAGGTAGACTATCTCTATTCTTGACTTGATCTCTACCCTTAATGTGGTTTAATCCAAGCCCTTGATTTTACTTTTAATCTAAGTCCTTCATTTGTGGTAATTTTTAGTCATTCGTTCTTTCTTTAAATTTTAATCTTCCATCTAACCATCTAATTTAAATGCTAACCCTCCATTTGTGCAATGTAATTAATACATCCAAATAATTGAGGGAGAGTGGCGAAAAAAAAAGGAAAGAAAATCTCTCCCAAAATTATTTAATTTTAGTCCCTTAATTTAGTAAACTTTCCTACAATTACTCTTCCATAAGTTCTCCAATTATTCAATTGATCCCTTTTGGCCCTTCCTTTAAGTTTCTTCTAAAAAATTTTAACTTCCTAAAATTCATTCCTAATTCTATTTGAAAGTTTAAGCTTTTAATTTTGTGCGTTTAGATCCTTAATTTTATGCAATTAGGTCTCTATCTATGCAAAATTTATTCTACACCTTTCTAAAA